GGTCATCCATATCCTGCGTCCTGGGAAAGGACCAAAGGTGTTCCATGATCTGATGATTCCTTTGATGCTGTCCCTCCCAGCATTGCTGAACATCAGTCTTCTCATCTTCCTGGTCATGTTCATTTACGCCATCTTTGGGATGTACAATTTTGCCTATGTTAAAAAAGAAGCTGGAATTAATGATGTGTCCAACTTTGAGACCTTTGGAAGCAGTATGCTCTGTCTTTTTCAAGTGACCATATTTGCTGGTTGGGATGGGATGCTGAATGCAATTTTCAGCAGTCAATGGTCTGACTGTGATCCTGACAAAATTAATCCTGGGACACAGGTCCGAGGAGACTGTGGGAACCCCTCTGTTGGGATTTTCTATTTTGTCAGTTACATCCTCATATCATGGCTGATTATTGTTAATATGTACGTTGTTGTGATTATGGAGTTTTTAAGTATTTCTTCTAAGAAAAAAGTCAGAACCTTGAGTGAAGATGACTTTAGGAAATTCTTTCAGGTCTGGAAGAGATTTGATCCTGACAAGACCCAGTACATAGACTCTAGCAAGCTTTCAGACTTTGCAGCTGCTCTTGATCCTCCTCTGTTCATGGCAAAACCAAACAAGGGCCAGCTCGTTGCTATGGATCTCCCCATGGCTGTTGGAGACAGAATTCATTGCCTTGACATCTTACTCGCTCTTACAAAGAGAGTGATGGGAAAAGATGAGAGTGTAGAGAAAGTCCTTGCAGAGATAGAGTCAGGGTTTATGTTGGCCAGCCCTTTCAAAATCACATGTGAACCTATCACAACTACTCTGAAACGCAAACAAGAGGCAGTTTCAGCAACCATCATTCAGCGTGCTTATAAAAGCTACCGCTTGAGGCAAACTGACAAAAATACTTCAGATATTCATATAATAGATGATGACAGAGATGCTGGTTCTGCTGAAGAAGGTATCTGTTTTGACAAAACTAAGGAAATGTCATCTCTTCAAAGCCATATCTAATTCTACTTTGCACCTCTACTTTCACATATCCCTAAAACTTTAGGCACATAAGTAAGAAATAAGAATAATGGCCAGAGACTAGAGATAATGATCGAGTGATTTTAGCTTATGGAAGTTGGAAGTTAAGCTTTTGTTCTTAAGTCTCTATGCCAAACTCATTCTCTTTTCACATTTTGATGTTCAGTCTGGCCAACCTATCAGGAAAGGCTGTCCCATAATATTGCTGCTGTTGGCTAGTGTAGGTGAATTCAATATTTTTTTTT